GTTGGGACATTGATGCTTCGGAACAATTACCGCCCTATATGAAGCTCTCCTACCGTGCTCTTGTACAAGTTTACACTGAAGCAGAGAGAGAATTGGAAAATCTTGGAAATAAGATGACATTTAGAGTCAAATATTCCATCAATGAGGTAATCAAAGAATTATTACTGAATGATGAAAATATAGTCAAAATTAAAAAAGCTTGTTACTTTTTTCAGATGAAAAAGTTGTTGAGGGCTTACTTCCAAGAGGCCAAATGGTATCATGAGAAAGTTGTGCCAACAATGGAACAATATATAAAGAATGGAATTCCATCCAGCACTTACCTATTGCTTGCTACTACTTCTTGGTTAGGCATGGGAGATGTAGCAACTAAGGATGCGTTTGATTGGATATCGAATGAACCTACAATTCTTGTAGCTTTGTCTATCATTGCAAGATTACTCAATGATCTCGTAACACATGAGGTATTATATTGTACGTGTAAATAATAACTCAAGGATAAATAGGAAGTGCTACATATACAAATTGAATATGAGGTACTATTTTTGCTAGTCTTTAAACTTGTTTGTCTGATTATATTATGGATACAGATAGAAGTGGAAAGAGGAGATGTAGCATCGGGTATTGAATGTTACATGAACGAGTATGGTGCCACAAAAGAAGAAGCTTACATGGAGACAAGGAAAATAATAGAGAATAATTGGAAGGTTTTGAATAGAGGATGCCTAAAGCCTACAACAGTACCAAGAGTTTTACTCATGCCAGTGCTCAACCTTACGAGGGTGGCAGAGTTCTTTTATAAAGATGATGATGCTTATACTTTTTCCACAAATAACTTGAAAGACATCATCTCTTTGGTGCTAATTGATCCTATTACAACATAAGAGAACTTTACAATGAAACTACTAGTACTTCATAAACATCTAACATTTTTTGATGTTGCTTATTTCTGTGCTAAGTTCTAGCTTAGCTAAAATTGCCTATGTTTTATTTATGTACTTTGTTATGGTTGTCAATTGATATATGGACTGCTTTGATACAGTTAATACAAACTACAATATATATAAAATCACCTAGCATTATATATAGATTAGTCTTTCGACTACCCAACCCTAGTAATTGGCACTGTAACAAACTACTTTGCTCTTTTTAGTTTTCATTGCTCACTTCCAAAAGGAAAAAATATAACATCAACAAATACAGATACAAAATTTTGGATTCGTGATTTTCGTGCAACCACAAATCCTAGTTTTTGGTTTTTTTTTCCTAAAGCAAATCAAACATGATCTCCAACCCTTTCTCGGAGTGTCATCAATTAACGACAAGATATATATTACCTCTAGCTGGCAGCTGCTAATATTACCCGAGTTATATCTTAGTTTTGTGTTCATTCATGTCGCCTCTAAGAAAATATAATCTGCATGTTACAGAGAACTCACTTGTTTCCAGATTTTTTCTTCAATGTGGCTTTTCGTTTTTCTTCCCTAAGAGCATTCCTCTTCTCTTCCCTGTAAATATAAGACAAGAATACGTTATATGACATGAAATTAGCTCGGTTCCATGAGCACATCAGTGTTTATATCATCAACTCATGATCGTGGAACTGAATAACTTTACCTGGCTTTTGCGATTTCTTCTATAGGAGGGGGTTTCTTCTTTTCCCTCCTTTTTGGTGCCACCGGTTTGTTTTCTGCCCTCCCATTTTTAGTTCCACCACCATTTTGTCCAACACCTTTTTTATCTGAATGCTTTTGGAAATCTCTCTTCCTTTTTTTATCAGCTACTGCTTTTTCATTCAATTTTCCGCTCTCTTTAGCAATGCCTTCTTGCTCTGAATGCTTGTCATCATCCTCTTCAGCATTCTGCTGGTCACTGCTCTCAATGGTATCAGCATCTTCTATTTCTTCGGACTGAGCTGACGCTTTTGCAGCAGACTTGGAATTGCTCATCTTTTTCAACTGGAAGAAAAGAGCCAAGTGGGGCAAATTATTCTCAGCTGAAACAAACTTGCAGCAACTTCAAAGAAGATGGTTTATAATTTTTCATTAGTTTTTACATCCATGTCAGTCCCAATTAATTTTGAATCCCAGAAACCATAATCGTTTCACGATCGTTATGAAGTAAGAAAATCATAATTATTTCAGTTTCCACAAGCTTCATAAAAAGATGAAATGTTTGTTTGGCATGATTAAGCTAGATATATACGCGATTACAACAGTCTGAGAACTGAGGAGATGCATACAGAAACTATATTTTTCAAATATCTTCACTTTGAAAAACAAAAATCGTTAAATACAAGTAGTTTCTAAAAAGGATCAGACTAATGACATTATAAATTCTCAATGTAAATGCTAAATCTCGTGCTATTATTATTATTAATTAAAATTGAGAAGGATTTTTTTTTTTGAAAACCAACCAATCCATACTGATTAGTTATATACCAAGGGGTATTTTCCCAATGAAACATGGCCAAACGGTGACCTAGTGTGTTTAGTGTTCAAAACTTTCATGGTCGATAGAAACAAGCACACCAAAAAGGGAAAAATCATTTGAAAAGAGAAGACTTCACAGGAGAATTGAGTGATATGGCAAAGGCAGAGTAATTTATGTGGCCTGTTCTCCTTGTAAGATCATCTCCAACCCATCTCTATTTTACTCTCCATTCTCTATATTTGGAGAGTAAAATAGAGAATAGGTTCTCCAACCACTCTCTATTTAACTCTCTATTCTTCAATAATAGAGAGGTGAACAGTAGTTCTCACCTCTCAATTTTACTTTTGATTATTACATTATTGTTTCTATTATATACTAATTTAATCTTTTATCATTTGTTATTATTTTCTAATGCAATATAAAACTTAACAAGTTACTACTTTCGCCAAATTAATCATTTTTTTATTTTATTTTCTAAAAGAAATTGTCACTTTAAATATGTAACTTAAAGTTATTTTAATATTATTTGACATTTGTATTATGTAAAATTATTAATTAAGTCTCTAATATTTGTAGTTATTTTCAAACTAATATAAAATCTAACATATTATTGATTTTAATTTTTTTGGTCATTTTAAATTTGTAATTTAGATTATAATTATTTTTCATTATGAAGTAATGCACAAAATTTACATGATAATTCAAACAATCTACTTCTTATGTTATAGTGATAAATTATTAAACTCCACTTTGTAAATAGCATAAAAATACTTGATTCAATAGTTCAAAATGGAATATGGGAAGTAACTTAGTACACGAAATAATTGGATACAAGATGAACTTGTTAATTTATACAATTTTTAGCTACACATAAAAATAAGGACAAAAAATGCTCATTTTGAACTCTGTAATACATTAATAGAACATTCATGAGAGTAACGTAATAATCTAGAAAGTTGAGTATTAATGTAAGATTAAAAATAAATTTTATGATAATACAATATTTATGATGCAATAATATTTCATCAATGATTTCACTTTTATTTGAATTGTTCGTTAATATGTATTATATATGATATTTATCGCAATTTATGTTATTTAGAATAAAATATAATTTTGTATTAAATGAAGAATTTGAAAAAAATAAAATTTTTGTATTACATAAAGATTAGAGTGATTATTTTCAAAAAGAAGAAATGATTTTATATTATGAAATAAGAAAATAAGAATGAAATAGAAATAATAATATAATATTGAGGAGAGAGAAAAAAGATTCTTTTTTAGAGAGTAAAATAGAGAATTGAGTTGGAGTTAATTGCTTGAAAAAATAGAGAATTTGGTTGGAGTTAATTGCTTGAAAAAATAGAGAACTCAAAATTTAGAGAGTAAAATAGAGGATAGGATTGGATATGCCCAAAATACTTCACTTGGGGTGCTACGATCAATGTTAAGAATAGACATCATTGACCTATAAAGGTAGAACTCTGATTCCTGCATAAGAGCTCTCTCAACATGATACTTTTCATTCCAAAAGACTTCCCATCCAGAGTTAGATCCAGGACTTGAACCTTAGTTTTTGGTTCTAGGTCATGGCTTCAAGTGCTAGTAGGGTTCTAAATTAAGCTCTACACATGTTCAGTGATTTTTCAACACAATACAGGGTATGAACCAAAGCTACATTTCTGCCGAACCCACATGTTATATACTACCTTCACCCCTGTTCTCATCCTTCTCCTTGGTCCATAGTTCTCTCTAAACTGAAATTCCTAAATAGTGCATTTGTTATGCAGCTATTGACAAACACAAATTATCACCAAATGAAATGGTATACCTTTGCCACAAAGAATCCATCCATGTTGTGCACATGAGGATAGAATCGCCGTGTCTTGTCCAACGATGTGTGGAAACGGTGCTGCCTAAAGCGAACAAATCTGGGATTCAAAGCAGCTTTAGTTAGCTGTAGAATTAATCAATCTTTCAAGTAAATGCACATAAAAGGCACAAGCTTTACCCGGGCCTGCCAAAATCAAGTCCACAAGGCACGAGTTTAACATCTCTCTTCTTGAGTGCATAATCTATAACTGCTTCATTCTGCAGCCCAAGTTAAGAAAAGAAGTAGAAATTGATAAGCATACAAACACTTAGGAGGGTACCCTCTTTTATAAGATTCATTACAAATATAAGTTTAAAAAGATACCTCATCAACCATGATGGAGCAGGTAGAATACACTATGTATCCACCCGATTTTGAGTTGGCATCGACCATGTCAATTGCTGCAAGTATCAGTTCCTGCAAATGAAAATTGACCATAAATCAGGTTTCTCAGAGGCGAATAATAGACATCAATATGTGAAACAGGGAATATAAGATAAGCATAAACATTATGGAGCAAAATTAACATTATTGTAGGAGGGAGGGACATGAACCTTCCATTATCATCAGCAACACCCTCCTGCTTTGGAGGGTACAGATAACAACACACACAAAAATCAGGGCAATAAGGCAACTTGAATTGCAAAATCTGTTCCCTCATACAACAAATAAGATTGATGAAATCAATAATTAAAAACAACAAAGATAATGTTCAGTTTTCCTAGCAACTTAATCTCTCAAAAATTAAATATTTTCAGAAACCAGTATTTTCTAACATCTAGTGAAGTCAGATGCTGGCGATATGTTGTATACGAGTTCTCTTATGAAGCATGACAAGCTTGCAAGCATACAACCAGTTCATTGAAATTTTCATGATTGCAAGTCTAGAAATATGGATGACACAAAATCACCAAATTTGCACATTGAACTCAATTTATACCTTCTGCAGGTGTGAGCAATTTTGTATATCTGCAGCAGTTTTGGAAGTTTTAACAGACTCATCCTTGGAAATCACCTGCAGAACCAACGAAGTACATCTGATTAAAAGTGATTTCAGGCAAACATGTACATCAAACATTACTACGTACCCCAGTGCCACTGCAGGGAGCATCCAGCAAAATTCTATCGGCAGTGTTCTGACCCAAGACTTTAGGTAGCTGAAATGATTCCCAAGAAAGGTATTAGATCAGAGGACTTGTCCATATATTATAACTAGGTAAGCCAAGAAACAGAGACCCAAGTCCAACAAAATCTGTCAGATCAGTGCCTGTAGCTCAATGACGTTACTACATAGCAACTCCCAACAAGAACAAGAGCTTAAAATGAGCAAGAAAGTAGAACAACATTGCCCAGCATGAAACTTTAACGTACAAATAAAATGCAGCAAGTTCTAAAAGGGGAGATCACAAAATAGTCTGAATCTAACCTCTCTTCCATCATAGTTACAGACAATGGTGTTTGTTACCCCCATGCGATGTAAGTTAGCAGTGAGTGATTTAAGTCTCGACTCCTTCATCTCATTTGCATAAATAATACCTAATTTCCCAAGGTGAAATGTGTCAGTGTCATTCAGACAATTGAAATGGAAAATGCTATTAAACCAATATGGAAGACAGTATTGCTTACAAACAACTTCAAAAGCAGAACAAGGGAGAAGAGAGAAGTTAGAAAAACTATCATGGCAAACATTATCATGTCACAAAAGCTGATGACAAATAACAGGTAGTATATACGACACATCAGGACAAGATGTTCATTCAATGCAACAATTTTTGAGAACAAATAAACTGAAGAAGTTTCACTAGAGAAAGCAAACAGATTAGCAGCACAAGTATACATAAATGACTTTGAGTAAGAATATGTACAATTGTTCATGAGCGCATAGTAAAATAGAACAGAAGCACC